GCTCGTGCTTTACACTTCGTTTTCCAGCAGTTCGATTGCAATTTTTCAGGTGTTTTTCGTGCTCCGAAAGAAGAACAGACAAGTTTCGTTCCTCCACGTGTACCATCATGCTTCACAGGTGGTATATTCATGGGCCTGTCTCAAGTATCTCCCAGGTAAGCCTACTTATACTGCAGTAAAGCATTCTTTCCTAACTCGTTTTGTGGTCCGTGTGTTGGCTTGCCGACCAATTAGAGACTACGATGTATAAATGCTACATTATTCGAAACACAGAACAGTACATAATAATTATTTGGAAAACGGTATGGACGGACGGTGAGGAATAAAGGACAAATCGGAAAATTATATCGATGTAAATCCTACGTTAAAAGATTCCAGTAATACGGGCTGGACTTACTTGTGATTCCTTTGACAACGCTGTTAACTGCTCAGACTGGACTGGACTGGACTGGACTGCTGGAAAGGATATGGAAGGAAGCGGCCGTAGCCTCATCTGCGATACTATCCCGCCATTCGCCTTGAGGGACTGAGGGAAACCACGAAAAACATCAATGAGGGTAGCCGGTCTACCGAGAATATGGACTGAATCTGAAGGCGGCGAAGTAATAGACATTACTGCCAACAGTCTCAAAACTCGTTTCTAATAAGAACGCTTTAAACCCCAGTAGTAATTATATATACCACTTGCTTTAATAATCAGTAAGTCTACATTTTGCGCACAAGGTGTATTTATAGCTTTCGTATCAATTCTCACTGTAAACAGCGATTATTTCCTTAACCAGCGTTAACCAGTTGATCTTTGTAATGGTGAAGTGCGGTGTTTTCTTCGCGGTACGACCGAATTCTTAAATAGTACTTAGATGGGCTTCGGTTTTTATACCCCTCCCCCATTTATAACAGTAGTGCCTATCGCTACTCCCCCCACCACTTTCTCTCTTCTCTCTCTCTCTTTCGGTTTCAAAAGATCGCGAAACGCACTGGTAGGACATAGAATCTGATTAGCCAGATTAGCACAAACCGGATTTTCTTTTTAGGTGAACAAGGAGTTGTTATGGGATTCATCAATTCCTTGGTACACGTCGTCATGTATTTCTACTACATGGTAGCAGCGATGGGGCCCAAGTACCAGAAATACATTTGGTGGAAAAAGTACATGACCGTGATACAACTGGTAAGTTAGTCCAAGATTTAATAAGTGCCCCACGCACGATTAATTCAAAGTACATGAAACAGCTTTCAGTGCATGTGGAAGGCGGACTACACCTTGGTTATTCCTAGGAATATGTAACAGAAAGTAAGCAACCCCATGCACTCAGCTGGTCAACTTGTTTATCGTTGTTATGCAAAAAAGCGTTCCATTACCGGGCTCACAAATTGTTGCCTACCTGCCTCAACCTATGCCAGTTCAATCCATCTGACACGTACAACTTATTTTTCCTATCATCCCCGAGTGTACCAGACTGCATAATCGAATGTCTGCTGTCAAGCTGCATGCGCGTCCCACGTCTCATAACCAAACAGAAGCTCCCACTGCCTCCCTCTGGATGTTACACTCCACATCTCCTTCTGCGTCTGATTCCTTCCTTCATAGTGTAAAATAAGACAAGGCAAGGTTTGTCTTGAAACTCAACGCATTCTCTATGACGGTCCTCCACGTTCCAGCCGTCTTATTCCCGTACAAATAGCTGCCTATGTCCACTGGAGAGAGACCGCGGTCGGATGGGAAAATGCCAAGTACTGTCGTCCTTTCCCCTCGACCCCCGTCTGCGTTCTAGCGTCTGGAGCGCTGTAAGAACGGTCTGTTCACAGGTACAATTCGTGGTGGCCCTGGTCTACCTGGCATTCACCCTCGTCTCGGACTGCCACGTCTCCCGACTTCTAAGCGTCTTGTTGGCCACGAACGGCACCTTCCTCTTAAGCCTGTTCATGAACTTCTACTTCCAAACGTACAAGAAGAAGGTGGCAGATTGAAGAAAGGAGACAAATAATGTTCACTCATCATCTCCTTAACGTGACGCAGTAGTGGCATGTTTCAACAGCGTCTCTGAACACCTTTTAGTTGGGATACCCCTTAATTTACAAAGAGAGTCACCACGTGCCCATTTTGAATGGTAACTTATCTCGAGCTACGTTCTCCATGACACCAATAAAACAGTAATTAAGAAGTTTCCTGCTGCTCAAACTTTCAAACTCAGGTTTCAAATTGCCGAAGGTCATTTTCACCTGTGTTTCGCAAAGCACACAACATACGTTTTGTACCTCCTAGAGATGCCTACAGACACGCAAAGTTAAGGAGCCCTGCGTCAGAAAGACGGAATTATCTGACACACCTCGAGGTACGACTGAAGCAGGAAGCAGTTGAAATGGGCACTGTTTCATTTCAACGAAACTATCAAAAAGCCTATTTAAATGTAAGTTCGTGTTATCACTTGTTAATTTATCATCACAAACCCATACGAAATAACAATTAAATGTCATTCTGTATATTTTAATTTCCGAGAAGGCAAAACATTCTAAAATGTAAGGTACAAATCATCCCCCGAATTCAAACTGTTCTTCTTAATGTCCTTGATCTTTGCCTTTATATTAAGATTAATGTATGTATATACCCATCTTGTAAAATATTTTAAAGAAATAAAATTCCGCTGTCCGTAACTTTATGCCTATTCAGTAGTGAATACTGTTGTTGTCTTCTGTGATGTTGCACCGTGTAGTCTGGTACATATTCACCGATGTTTCGTAAGTGCTTAATGCCTCCGTCATCAGGGCGAATCTTCGACAGACTGCAAGGCCCAACATCCCATCAGACAGCCATTTGATACTTGTCACCGTGAGAACCTAAAACCTCCCTATTTGTCAGTGACTTTTTTCTTTTATTTACTTTGCCCACCCACGCCCCTGTACTGTGCAGCGGATGGCGGCCCTGCTGATAAAGGCAACTTCGCATGTTTCTGCCTGTAGCTAAAACACGACCCGTGTGATGAAATAAGACAGGCAGACAAATGTTATGAACAGAACAACCACAAATAAATCAAATATGTACAGAACAAACCAGATACAAAGGTCTGTAATGATGGTTTAAAACGCACAGACATTACCCATCGTCCTAAATTTAATTACAGAGCCAGATTCCAGTCTCTGAAACATCATCTGCAATTTCAATTAGGCGACCATACGTTTACACTCTGGTGTTATTTCGAACAAAAACCAAAAAAATACACATGACCAGCAATGTGGAAATCTAACTTTATGATTCTCATTTTCACATAACGTCACTTTGTATTGGAAAATCGCTATGGTTTTAATTGCATAATACGAGTGGGCATTCACTCCAGCAACAGACATTTCAAATGAAGAAACAGACAGCAGTAAATAGTATTTTGGACCTGCATTTGTAAAGTGACCACTCCATTTTGCAGCCACAATGTTTGTAACACACAAACATTTGTGCAGTAATTTATCCATGATTCATCACTCTCTACGATACTCATTTACATTTATACATTTATATAAATTACAGAAAGAATGAACAATGACACCACAACCATAGCAACAGAAGATGCAACAAGTACCTGAATCAAGCAGTTCCTAAAATCTTTCCAAACACAAATCTTAGGCCCATGACAGCAAATGAAATTAAAAGCATCCTCTCAAATCAATAAAATTCATGTGATTATGATGAAATATCAACAACTTTACTCAAAATCTGTGCATTAGTGTTCCTTTAAGTTATCTCTGCACTCAACCAATGGCAGAAGGAGTTTCTCCAGAATGACCTAAATATTCAGAAGTTACACTTGTATATAAAAAAAGTTGAAAAATCAGACCAATTTCATTACCAACAACTTTCTCCAAAATATTTGAGAAAGTCATGTAAGGTATTCAATATTCTTCCACTAGCCAGTAAATTCTTACTCTCATTATCATTTGTAGCAAATAATACAGGAAGTTTTCAAACAAACTCAGATATCCTCAGTACAAGTACAAGATATAGACATAACCTCACAATATAAAGAAATATAAGCCAACACTAAAAAAGTATCTCCTATCTCATTTATGCGCCCTTGTGCAATTATTTTTTTAAGTAATACTGTAGTTGACTGTAAATTACTATTTATATTTGTATTAGAAACAAGTATTGTATTTGTGCTATGAAATGTTCTACATCCCTCTCTAGGGCCTATCAAGTATCAATGGGACACAAAACAAAGTATATTCTATTCTATGTTAAAACATGCCCATGTTGTGCTGTTTTAAACTGAAAGGCCAACATAACCTCTTACATTAATTTAGTAGTACCTAACAGGAAAAAAACAACTAACTAACTAACTAGGTGGCTTAAGAACCCGAAGGTTCATCACGACGGAACTCACCAATTCCCTCCACCGGTCCCTGTCCTAGGCCAATGCAGTTTTCTCCATACCCCATCGTCTTCTCTCCTAGGCCCACATATCCTCCTCAACACCCGATTCTCAAACACCTGCAATCTATGTGCCTCCTTCAGAGTGAGAGACCATGTTTCGTACCCATACAAAACAACAGGCAGGATTATTGTTTTGGAAATTTTAATCTTCAGGATCTTAGAAATCAGATGGGAAGACAAATTATTTTGAACTGAGATATGGGAAGCAGAAAAAACATAATTTTTTGCTCTAAATTGTGGATAATTTTTCCCAGTGCACTGAATTATGGGAAATACGATAATTAGAATATTTAACCATTTATAGTCCAAGTATCATAAACATCAACTTTATATAAATTAATTGTACCAGGATGAGAAATAACCACGTATAAAATGGGGCAAATTCAACACCTTTACTGATACTAAGATGAAGAATCTTGTTAATTACCTGTTATTCTGAGGACTCAAATTATAAGTTGAAACTTCATTGTGTCATTTTGATTGAGGATGAAATCATTTTGGAAGTTGCTCCATCAGACACATTGGAATCCGTCAACCGCCGCAAAGACGTGTTGAAGCATGCGCGCACTTCGTATCACTATCTGCGATCTATTTAATTATCATCACTGTCATATATTAAATTATTTATATTTATTATATTTTCCACACCATTTTAAACTCACTGCACAACTTCCACTCTTCCCGCCTTCGCACTCAACCACGGATTATTAACCGAAAACGACCACAGATGAAAGTAACACATAACCGTAAAGATGGGGACACTATCGCGCAGTGCGTCACCTTAGACTGATTGGGAAAATGGACGTGGAGATAGAGAATGTTATTAAAATAATATTTCCAGACGGTATTCCAGGCAAGAATGAATTTCATATTTTATGCGTGTGAATACATTGTTCACTAAATTTTTGTCAATCTTGATATGTAACAATGTAGAGTGTTTAACTGTTGGCAATACCTGATATGCCCTTGAGTGGGAAAATGTTCAATTCTTTTACAGACATTTCAATGTATTTGGTAATATACTGGTTGGCAGTTATTTGCTTAAATTATTATGTAGAGCTGTATCCAATAAATCAGATTTTGTGATTCCACGTAGTTATAATCTTGTTTCGGTTGAGTGGTGATATTACATTAATTTCACTTTCATGAATTGTAAAAAAGTGTTGATAGTTCGATATAATATCGTAAGGGAACTAAATAGAATGTAATTTACTTCAGTCTCTGCCGTCTGGTGGCAGAGCTAATCAATTACTACCATCCACGTACGAATTTGAACCCAAAGTTGGTATAATTGAGCTTATGTATTTCACTGTAAAGTATGAAATGGCGTTTTAACAGTATTTCTATTTAACCTTGTTAGTTGATTTGGTCCATTTTACTAATATCCAATTCCTATCTATACATTTTTATGACTTACTATAATTGCATCATTTACCTAATAATATTAAACACATTCATATTGCCAAGGAATTTAGTTGTGTCTTTTGTAAAATTAAATAAAGTTAACTAATTTAAATTACAGATAGCAGATGTGCATAAGTAAAGTCACTGTTAGTCATTGACAATTCAGTACAAGTAATTAAAATCTGATGTAGCATATTGAAGAAGTATGAGAATTACTGAATGGCAACCTTGTTTTCAAAATGCTCATCCAAGTTTTCTTATTTCTCCAGATAACTGGAAAGAAAACCCAGATGTTGCATTGTATATAACAAAGTTGGGATCGTTTGGAGTTGAGCAGTTAAGTAAGTAAATTTCTGTTTCAAAATAATGACCATTAGTTCATACAGGAGTTTCTTGAGCACCAAACTTTCAATTTTTAAGTCTTGAATGCATTGGCTATGTTTTCATAACTGGATGTCACCGAATGCCACTGTTATATCACAGGTAAGGAACCTGACAGGCTGAATGAAGAGAAATCATCAGTACTTGAACAAACACAGCAACTTGCATTTGCCAATTACAAGACATTTATACAGACTGCCGAGTGCTCTAGGGAGATATTCAAACAGGTGAGGTGGATTATTGAGCTTGTGTCATATAATTTTATTGCTTCTTAAAGTAACATATATTATTGACACACACAATGCTTAATATCTTTAATGCTATCATCTTATGTGAGTTTTGTTTTCAAATTCTGTTCCACAGTTTGGGGAATATAATTATATACAGTATGAGTTACAGATCACTGTCATCTCTGAGGTACTAAAGAGGTGAATAACATGTAGAACAAATACATTGTCTGCGCTAGTCACCATGACACATCACCATGGAGGGCATATTCAGTACGTACACAAGTAGTCGTCCACGTCAGAAGTAGTTATCATGTGGCATATACAGGAAGTCTTAACCAGTTTAGGTAGTATGTGACCAGTGTTTCAGAGGTACTTGTGCCCCTATCATCAGGGTGACACCATGAGAACCTGCAATCTCACTTGTTTAATTATTCTTCAAGCTTCCGCATTTCACTCTAGATTTAGGCAGATTAATGGATTTTCAATATTATAAGATTACAAAACTTAAAATGATAATAAACCTTATGCCATGTGTGTAATTTAAAGTACTGCGACTCTGACGTGTTATTTAAAATCACTCCATTTTCTATAGAAATAGATCGGGTACCAGCAGAACTGAAGTGAAATGGTACAGTGTTAACAAAATAAACATGATATGATTTATTTTATTATACTTTACGATTTGCTGATGTCAACATACTTCACTATTTAGACCTGCTCATATTTCCTAAAGGAGGTGGCATTATATTCCTGTGAAATGTAGGTAACCATCTAGATTACATGGCATCATAAGTAGAATGTAGAATTAATGGGGAATGAAAAGTGGTTTATGAAAGTGAGAAGTTACTTATTTCATTATATTTTTTTTACATAAGCCCCGTATATAATGTTTCCAGTTCAATAATACTGAACAAAATTTGGAATCATTGCTGAAGAAGTTGCCAGAGTTTTCACAACGATGTCAGGATTTCAGCAAGGCATCGAGCGATATAAATACTCACAGACGTCTCAACTCCTTAACTCTCACCAGAAATGCGCAGCTCCTGGAGATTTTGGAGCTTCCACAACTTATGGACACATGCATCAGGAACGGGAACTATGAAGAAGCACTGGAATTAGCAGCTTATGTCAGGAGGCTTGGAAAAAAACACGGACAGATACAAATTATTGCTGTAAGTTAGTGTACAGGCACGAAGAAGTAAACTACTTTTGTTGGTCCCTCGAAGTCCAAAATTAATCCAGTTATTTGAAGTGTGACTATAACAACCCTTAGTTGGTCCAGATTTCATTCTAGGAATGTTACAAGATAGCACACATTCCATTGTGTGGACAACCCGTTTCAGTATCGGATCATGAGAAATAACTTTTCACGCACCTTCTACTTTGAACACTCTGATTGTTCAGTTAGTGCATTATGATCAGCACATTACAAGATAATTTCACCTTTCACTCTCCAAATATGAAACGTGGGTTCAAAAGCTGTACTTGGCCGACAAGAAAGTACTAGTACATAGATAAGTAGCCATTGGTTTTATACAGCTGTATGCCAACTTGCAGTTCCAAAATGCCATTTCTGCCAGTCTTATACCTCATCTGATTCCATTCCTCTGCTTGCCGTGGCTTGCAGACCGCCTTCTTTACACAGATTCCTTGGCCATCCTCTCCTGTGCGGGGTCCTCGGTCCATTCACCTTCCGTGTCAATATCACTTCAATCATTTCTATTGGTCTGGAATGTAAGGAAAATTTCTAAATTTGTCTCCTGTCATTTACAGGAGGGAAGAAACCTGTTAGGTACAGTGAATGTTCAGTGTCACAAGAATTTTATTATAACAAATCTTATTCAGTGGACCACCTGCACATTATTAATCTAATAATTGTCATGTAACAAGCATTTAGAGACAGAATGAGAATGTACATAGCAGTAAATACAGTTCCGTCTTTAAATGCCCTTTTGATTTCATTATCATGTCTTCACTAACAATCACTGGTGATGCTTCACGCATCTGATATCCCGACACTTCTCATTTTCAACGGTCTGTGTAATATCGATAAAATCAAAAGTTGATTCGAGTTGAAAAATCTATAATTACGAGTAGATAATAAAGAACTGGTGTAATGCTAGGAGCACTGTCCTGTTACAGAGTATAGTGAAAGATGTCGAGACAGCATGGTTGTCAATGCTTCACCAGTTGCTGGCACAGCTTCGGACAGACCTCCAGTTGCCAAGGTGCCTGCAAGTGGTGGGGTACCTCCGTCGGATGGAACTGTTCTCTGAAGCCGAGTTACGACTAAAATTTCTCCAGGCTAGAGACACCTGGCTTCAGAATTTGCTTTCTGCTATACCGAAAGAGGATGGTATGTCATCATGGTGATTAAATTGGCCGTAGGTTTCATTACCAAGTGCTATTGATGACTGGGTTATTCCTAGTAACACTCTGCAAGCTTTAATAATGGCTAACCTTTCTTCTTCAGCAAATCACCACCTGAGTAAAACCATTGAACTCTCGCGAATTCATCTATTCAGCATTGTGACGCAATACAGAGCCATATTCAGTGATGATGAACCGATTCTGCCTTTGCCAAAGGACCAGAATATTAATGAAACTGCAATATTCTATAGTTGGATAACTGAAAAGGTAAAGTGGCGATGCAAGTATTTTAAACTGTTGTATCATCAATCATAATGCAGAATTAATTACTTCCCTGACCTGTTTTGAAATGAAAATCAGCGACATTAGTGAAAGTAAGAAGAATGCTAAGTTTCTACTGACCAAAAACTAGGATTCAGATATTCATATGGTTTTGCTAACAGCAGAAAAAACTTCCAAACAATTTAGAAAATCATTTTCATGATGTTGGAACTGTGACATTCCATGAACTTGTAATAGATATTACTTGCTGCTGCCACTCCGCCTCCCCCCAGGTGTATACTTCAGAATTACCCCACTCGGTGGATCCACTCATTGTAAGTGATGCATCTCAGAAACCACAAAAAATAAATAATTTTTTATGCATTCTCCAGGAACTAATTTAAATGCAGTGTTTCTTTAATTCTCCCATATTACAGGCATAGCAACAGACGAGTCATCTGACATCTTGGAAGATTCTGCATACTATAATCTGAAAATATAAAAGTTTCTGAAGTATTTATTATTCATAGTTTGTCGCTCTTAAAGCCGTTTAAGATGACAGACAGCTTCGCGTGTACAAATGTTTCAGGTGTCTCAGTTCCTGACTACACTAGAACAGGATTTGAATCGAGGAGTTGGGAACTCTCTGGACTCAGTAATTGGTCAGTGTATGTACTTTGGGCTGTCATTCAGTCGAGTCGGAGCAGACTTTCGAGGTCTCATAGCACCCATTTTTATTGGGACCATCTCGCAGAATTTTGAGCATGCAGTGCGTAAAGCTAGCAAGAAGTTTGACCAGGAAATGGAAAACTTTACTTTGTCAAAACTTCCTCAGCCAAGCTTGTCGCGGAATGTTCCGCCATCTCAGTCCTCAAAACAGGTATGATTCACATAATTTGTTTTGGGTAATGAAAAGTGTGTGAGGATTTCTGTGGTTTTACTGAGACCCTTCCCCACCAAACGTGAATTTCAATGTAGTACCTTTAAATGTCATAGAAGCACTTTCAATTTCACACTCCTTCCCTTCTCACCGCCTATGATCATCGTTAGGTTAGGTTCACCACCACTGATACTGAAGCCCATCATGAAACATGATCCTGAGCTACATCCTTCCATGTCTCTTTCTCACTCTCCCAACCAGCTTCCCTGATACTACTCAGGTAAAATACACATAAAAGTAAAGTTCCTTGTTGTAAGAGCGACATACAAGATAACCATGAAACCATTACCAAATGCAAAGGCAGCGTTCTAAATTCTTAACAGGTAAACAATGGTACTATTTACACACAGGTACAAAGTCTCAAAGTAATATTTTCTATTATAGGAACATCCTCCTCAGTGCTTGCTGGAGTTCCACCCATTGGCAGACTATTGCAATGGCATCTTAACCGCGTTTAATGAGCTGCGACTGTGTGCTCCCGTAGCAGTTGCGGATAACGTAACCAACCAACTGAGAGAGTCGCTGAGCGGAGTAGCTCGCTCCACTTTAGGTTTCTATCGGCAAGAACAGCAAGCTCTGACGCAAGCAGAGAAGGATAATTTTACAAAATTCTGTGCATATTTTGCAGAAGAACTGCTGCCTTATGTACAGAAATGTCTTCACGCTGTGTTCCCACCAGCAGTTATTGCATCTCACCTGGGAGTCGGTATTCAACATTTGCAAAAAGAGGTAGCTCAACAGTTCAGTTGCCTACTTTCAAACTGTCCTTTCTTGAGAAGGCGCTCATGAAATCCTCTGACCTTTTTAGAAATGGAAGCTTCATATACAGCCCTAAACATGTCCATTTCATGTTGTTTTATTGGGATGTGTGTATTTACAGTTTTGTTTTTCAGTATAAACAGGCTTTAAACAACTACAGAAACAGAAAAAATAATCATTAATGAAGTGAGGATCTTTCTTATGAATCTGTTATTTCTGTGGCAGGGTTTGACGTACTTTGACCAGGCTGCAATACTGGATCCTATCAACCACTTACTTCCTGTGAAGGTGGAGCCACCATCTATCTCATCATCGCATCGCATTACTTTATTTAAACAGGATTCCATCCCACCTGACAGCACAGCTGTTAAGCCCAATGTTGACGAACCTGCACAAAATGTTGAACTGGACACAACACCTACAAGCAGCTCAGTCTGTTTTTCAAATACAGAAGACATAAACCAGTTCCAAGAGTCTAGTGGAAATTCAGTTTTACAGCCAGAAGAACCAAAACCAGATCACTTCTGAACTTATAACAATATAATTACTGACGTAATAGCACAGAAATCGAAACCACCTTTACATCTATTTCAACTATCAAGAAGCGAATACTACTTACATTTTTCTTGTTGTATTTAGTGATGTGATGTGATGTCGCATTCACGAGGCAAAAATGAACATTATAACCAGTGCAGTCGCATTCACGAGGCAAAAATGAACATATTTTACACACAATTGTTAACCTTGTAAAATACACAAATGTTGTATCAGATGATTTATATTAAATAATTCACCTCCACCTCCTACCGAGGTTGAGTGTGCCATATATGGATATAAAAATCATTGCACTGATACTCTTAAAACTTCTTGATAAGGTATCAATATTGGTCTTCTGAGTACTAACGCCATGTGTACTCGAAGGTAGATACCAATGTTCAGTTAGCGATGAAGATGTAGGCAGAACACCCTCCGAAATGCTGGTGTCTACCTACAAGGCTTGACAGGGTTCTGAAGATGGAGGCAGAACACCCTCCGAAATGCCGGTGTCTACCTACAAGGCTTGACAGGGTTACTACCCAGAAGACCTCCAATGACACCTTCACAGTGGTCATATCTTTGAGTCGCACGTCACAATAGGGTTTGAAGAAGCAGTTCCACCACCAGTCAACATGGATGTAAAGCTCTACGTACAGTGCGTTTCCATTCTTCTCACTCCTGCTGCACCTCCAGAGTCAGTCTCTGCACCTTCAGCGGTAAAAGTTTCACCATGTCTTCACATACTGCCACCTCAAGAGAGACGTGCTTTCTAGCATCTTTGTCGTGATTGCAGTAGTCCACAAGAAACTGTTGAAAAATGGACAATATTTATACATTTCATTTAAAGTTTTATATATTTACTTTATGTTATTCAGGTATAGTATGCAGCCTGGGATACCTAAGCACAGATGGGGATATTATTAATATGGATTTTAAAGAACCAGCTTATGAGGAGGTGACAGGATCAAAGTGAATCAGGATAGGGCTCAATGGTACGCAGTGTAATGAAACTCCGTATTCCATAAAATGATTACGAATTAATTTCTTACATATGACATTAACAGAAAGAGATACTTACACTTCCTACTTATGTTGTGAATTTATATTCATTTAATAAAAAGGCTGCTACATACCTTGTAGGCATTTAAACTCTGCTTCAGGTTTTCAAGCTGCGCTGCCTTATCTGGCATGACAATTTTGCTGTACAAGCGACCAATGCGAAAATAAGCTATCAGTGCTGGTCTAATCACATCTTCATTGAACATAGTAGGCATCTTGTTTGTGCTGAAATGTAAGCTATCAATGCTGGTCTAATCACATCTTCATTGAATATAGTAGGCATCTTGTTTGTGCTGAAATTAATATATAATTAATAAATTAATATTTCACATATCCAAATAAACCAGTGTTACAAATACAAAGCATTTCAACCCAGAAGACCACAATTTCAAGATTTTAAACCCTTAATGAGGTAAGATGATTTTGTGCATTCACCCTTGTGCATCATTGAAGGTTGGCAACACCACTAACCGCAGACTAGTCCTAAGTCCTTGGCATGCACTAAAATGCAAAATTATGAACATTCTATTCTTATTATACATAATTTACTATCACAGTATAGACGGTTATAATATCGTGTCATTCTTTCAATCCATGAAGACAGTCTACCACGTGAACACTAACATAAATCCAGTAAAACAGTGTGCAGCACGTTTATAAACAAACGCAATTAACAGTAAAATAAAGAGACGTAGACAAATACAGAGCTGAATAATTTAAAATGTACCAAATCGCAGCATGAATATGAACGCTCACCTTGCGTCTCTGAGTGATTCAAGGAACATATTGAAGTTGGCGATGCTCTGTTCAGCAAGATGATTCACTTTACGCAGTGCATGCGGTGTGGGTCGCTCATCTACTGTTTGCAATCTCTGTAACTTAATATCCAGGATATCTGAATAAGTTTCACCAAGTTCATACCAGAGCTGTCTGCACACCAATAAATAATAATGAGGGTTTAATTCCTTCAATACAGATTCCAAATGATCTATGCGTCGTTTGTGCATACGACTCTGCCTGGAATAGAAAAAGTATGTAAGCTGGACCATCACTACGAATATTACTAACACAGACATTCATCATGTGGTAACTCCAAAATGAATTCTATCTAGGTTGTAATGCTTCATAACTATCGCATCACACTAAAACAGATGACTACAGAAATTAATTTGACTTCTGACTCCATTTAATATGTTTCCCATGATGAAATGGGTTTTCACATGTGTGAAATTCATACCTGGATCACACCTTTGCAGTAATGGCACTGCTACATCACGTTCTCTGACCTACATCTTGGTGGTACATAATATTAGCAACTAATACACTATTACAGCTCTTTACTTTCTAATATTGTACCTCTCCTCATCTTCTTCAAAGAACGCCAGGTATTTGTACAATTGACTAAGGTCCTGGGTAATCTGAACACAGTCTGAAGCGTGCCCTTCTAAAGTATAATACTGCTTAGCCTTTGTTAACCATTCCTGGGCATTGAGGAATACTTTCCTTGCATCTTCATATATAAGGACATATTTGTCTGTTATCTGATCTTCATAACTGGATAATTCCAATGATGTAAAACCCAGGTCCTCCACAACACCTGTACACAAAAGTGCAATATTATTTTCCACTGCTATGGTATGAACTTAACATGAATATTTCTACAAGCAATGAAATCAAGGCTACATTTCAAAGACAGTTAAGATTCAAACCCTCAACCTTCACACTGCATAAAATTAAGCTCCCCCGCCTAAAAAAAGCCCTTCTTGAGATGTTCAGATGCATTAATTGTGCATGGGAAGAAACTCGTGTCATGCAATTAAACCCAGTGTAGGTCTCTTGTCTCTGGTGTCTTCCTTAATAATTCAATTTGTATCAGAAAAGGACTAAAAATACTGTTCCTATCTTTTGTCACACCTCACTGCAAACATAATATAATGAAAAAAGACTTATTTTCATATATATATATGCTGTTCCAAAAATTAAGTACATGCCATTTAAGTGTGCATTTTTTGAACACTTTTATGCAAAAATTATATTTAATACTTTCAACAAAAGTTTCACTGTGGCAATAAAGCACAATAAGCTATGCCCCATTTTATGATACACATATTGTGCTAGTATATTCAGTTATGAGTAAGAACAGTCCAGTAGAATCTGCCTGTCCAGAAACATTCTAGCACAAATAGGTAATGGGAGCATTTAATACCTTGAATTCTTCAAAGCATGATCATTGTCTTATCATTGTTTAGACTGCCTTTGTTTCCAGTAACAACCAACAAATAGAATAAATAATATAACCTGAAAAATAAAAATATGCAGAATATCACATAACCTTACTTCTATTATTACCTAATTCCTGTATATTTGTATTTGATGTTTCTGACTCATTTTCATTCACTTCTGACATGAGTCGCTCCTTTGAGTTTGAAAGTAACAGTATACCATATTTTGCCCAGCATCTTGCAACATCAGCACTACGGTGTTTAAATCTCTCTCGCCTTCAAATAAGATGGAACAGTAAAAGACATTCAGAACACACACCTTAGAAATATCACACAAATAGCATAACAACTGTCCAAAATTAAATCACTATTTAGCAGAATCAGAACCATGATGATCAGGATGGAGATTGTTCCTGAAACACTGATTGCCCAAGAATATTTTACAAAGCTTAAATCACCACAAAAGCTTCAAGTCACATATGATCCCTTGTGCTTAACTAAGCACAATGCAAATGTATGGGGGAGTGAAGGTGTAGCTCTACAAATTATTTACTTTGACTCTAGACAGACTGACTTTTACATGCTTATATCAAAGTATCAATTACATCAGCATGAATTTTAAGATATTTAGGAAAAATCAGTGATCAAAAAAACTAATAGCATTCCCCCCTCATTAACATACCCCAATATAACATACTTTGCTTCTAATGCTTCATCGTCTCCTTCTTGCAGACTGAGATCACTTTCATACTGGTCCAGTATAAAAGATGCTGCAGCCAAGTGATGTCTTGCTTGAGAGAATCCATTTTTCTCCATAAAATACTGAGATAAAGTTGCAGAATTCAAGGCCCAATCAACAGGATCAAAGTCTTTACTTTCCAACTGTCTCTTCAATGTTGTGTGGCAATACGCAGCAGATTTAACATGATCATTCAAATTGCCATAGATCTGAGCCAAGTAATACAGCGTAAGAGTGTAAAGTTTCTCTAACATGTTCTCTGCATCAGGTTGTGGCATCTCAGGATTAGATGTTCGGAACAAGTCCTGAAAGGAGACTGCGGCAGTGCAGGATGATGCATGATTTGTGAATTCTTCATACAACTTCTCAGCTTTCTCCAGATACTCCCTGGATTTCTCTGGATCACCTCTTTCAGACCACAATATACCTAACTGATTCAATGCAGTTATCAAGATAAGGATGACTTCAGGCTTGAGTGCATCATCATTTAAGCTGTCTATACAATTCATCAGCTGCTCTTCTCCAGTTGACAGTTCCTCAGTGTCGATAGAGACAAGTCCAAGATTGAGTGAAACTACTCCAAGCATTGCCTTGTATTTTAAAGAACTTGAATCTTCAAGCAGTTTTACTAATATGGACTTCATGTCAGTCAGAATTGCGCTTGCAGCATATTTAGAACGATAAGGTTCACTGGTCGAATCCCTCTTACTATCCTCATCTAAAAGCTTTTGCACCTTATCATATTTCTCCTGAAGATCCACCAAAATCTCCTTATGTGAACAATGTGTACTCATGGCAGACAATTGTATATGATGCACCTGTAACACGGCAAATTTCAAATGTATCTGCTGCATAACAAGGGCTCCCAACGTGACCCCTCAATGCCATTTGTGCAGCATGCGTACGCCTCGATATTATACATACTGTTCTATTTACCTACAAAACCTAAACATTATTCTATTCTGTAAGTGATCCCATTTCTTGGTTCCTAAATAGGGTTTCTCGCAGATTGTATTAAAGAAATTAAATATTATTTACACTGTGAACAATGCATTCAAATTTCAAAATGAGACTTCTTAACTTACCTAACGCTTAAAACACGATTCGTAATATCAATGCTGCAGGATACAGATTATAATTACGGCACTGTAAATATAGAATCATTCATCACAATATAAATTCAGAATTTCAAAATTTAAAACTCTCTTTGAGTAATCTACATTTCCGTCTGCTACCGATTGGATCCACAGATACTACTACTACAACAACAACGTGAGTGCATGAATAGTGTTTTGTTCCTTTAGCAGCCAACCTATGGAACGAAGTCGCCCATAACCAAAAATAACATGGCGTTTAATTTTTCTGCTTTCTCATACATAATTGCATTAATTGTAGATGCATTTTTGATATTCTTTGCTATCTTTCACGTATGTATTATATATTTTACATCGTCTGGTTATTCATCATCTTACATGCATACTAAGTTTTTATCTTATTGTTTTAATAATATCAAAGGAGTAAACATAACCTATAATTGTTTCAGGTTATAGCATTTGATGAACTGAAGACAGATTATAAAAACCCAATTGATCAGTGCAACAGTTTAAATCCTGTAAGTTATGAATCTGATTAACTTTAATGAATCAGTACATTAATCACCGTAAGATGGAGTACAGCCAATCCCCGAAACGTCGTATCAAATAATTCTCACACAATAGGAAATGTCCAACATGATATTCGCATAGCAAATGATACAAATGTGCTGAGTGTAATATTTGAACCTATGAGGGAGAAAGTAATAGGACAGAAAAAATTGCATACTGAGAAGCTTCCTAAGTTGTACCCTTCAGATGAATGAGATAGGTGGGAATATAGCTCACAGGACGAAGATAAGAAATTAATTTTAAGCAGAACGTTTTAACCTTCGAGTGACTGCAGATTTACATTTACAGTGTGTGAGTTTCTGTGGGAGATAACTTGTAGAGGTGCTTGATGCATCTGGCTGTACTTTTGTCCCCATCTCCCTCTATTTTCTGAGCCTGTATTTTCATGGTGTTGCCTGGGACTTGTTAGCTGTGTCTGTGAAACACCTATTTCACATCAGTTTCATGGTGTTGTCTGGGACTTGTTAGCTGTGTCTGTGAAAATGTAAGGAACAAATCTGATAGCTTTTGCTTATTTTAAAGATTACTTGGACATTACAGACATCAATAATGACTGAGAAGATAATGTTGGAGAGGAACATCTGTCCAGCCCCAGAGAAACTGCAGACTTTCTAAACTACAACAAATAGAATTACAAAGATGAGTGGTTTTTTGCCATACATGTGCAATTTTTATTTTCAGTTAGTCATACCAGAGTACCTGCTGCATCTGTTCTTCAATGTATTGTTCCTAGCATCAGGGGAATGGGTTTCATTATGTCTAAACATACCCCTTATTGCTTATCACATCAACAGGTATGGAGAATTAAAATCTGAAGGTTTGTGATGATGGTCCATTATTAAAATGACAAATTTCTGGACTTTATCTATTGTCTTAATTATATTTATTGTCTGAACTAAATATTTATTGACATATTTCTGTCTTTATATGCCCTTAGTACAATATCATCACACTATACTTTCATTAATTAACTAAATCTCAAGATGAAGTATTGAAATATTTTGAACTTTTGTAATTATCTCTGTCCAGATACCGAACTCGCCCTGTAATGACCGGTCCAGGACTGTATGATCCAACAAGTATAATGAATGCTGATGTTCTCACAAAATGTCAACGAGAAGGATGGATTAAACTAGCTTTCTATCTGTTGTCATTCTTCTATTATTTATATGGGTATGTTGTTTTTAAAATAAAGCATAAAAGTTGTTTAAACTGTATATACCATATACTGTGGTTATGTGCATTCCAGCTGACCATGCAGTGCACTAGCCTCTCCTCTTGCTATCAATGTTGTTTCACTTTCTCCCACTACTCTTATGTTTTTCCCCTCTTGCATCATCCATGTGCGCCACATGCCCCGCCCATCTCATTCTTCTTGACTTAATCACCCCAACAATATTGGGGGAAGAGTACAAATTTTAAGCCCATCATTATAAAGTTTTCTCCATACCCCATCCTCCTCAACACTATATTCTCAAAGACCTGCAATCTATGTTCCTCTCTCAGAGTGAGAGACCACGTTTCGCACCCATATAAAACGACAAACAAAATGTTAAGTATTATAAGTTTGTTCTTTTTGCTTCTGTAAGTTGTGTTGAATATTAAATATAATGTCTCATATATGCAATCTTGTGTGGGTTTTTTTTTCTATCACATATACTTGTAGTTTTAATACCTGATTTGTATTTCTTTTTTCCAGGATGATCTACTCCCTGATTTCAACGTAAATAATGACCAGCCCACTGCTCATCATCTGAGTCCAAGATTATCATTAAGCATTGCCTCGAACCCACACACACATAATATTTCGTAAATATCACTTTTTAGTTTTGATATCATCCATTTCATCTCCAACGAATGACTGTTGTAAATGCTATGTTGACTGAAAATGTCACAGGCTTTCAAAATAATTGCCACATAAAGATTTTATTGTATGTAATTATAAATAAGTGTATGGAGACTACTTATAAAACATTGCCAGATGAACAATGAATGTAACGCAGGGATCCGAAGTGCCCGTCATTTCATGCTACCTTTGATGCCCTTCTTAGCATTCCAGCATGCTGTTATTTTCCACTTCTTATTTTGTGATCTCAGTTCAACTTCTGAATTCCAGCATCTCTTCTTCATATTATTTTGCTTCACTAGAACATTTCAGTTTCTTCCATGTGTCAGTCACCACACATTCATCAATCTGTCCTACATTTTATGTATTATTCCCTTTTACATTAATATTTCACTGTAAATCCATCATTTTGCCTGTACGTGTATTGTGCAGACGTAGAACTAAAATTCTAATTTTCAAGAAACATGCTTCTTTAAGAATAAATCTATTCAGTTCATTATGTATCCGTCAAAGTTTGAAATATTCTCTGCTTAATCACGTGGCCTCAGTGCACATGTAATGAAACACGTGTATACTGAGTCACTTCATTAATTCAGCTGAATGTTGCAGTATAGTGGATATCACTTCTGCTTTGTATTCATTCAGTCTCCTCAAACCTATTACTGACTTGGATGTTTCATAACTTTTCTGAAGTCATTCAAGGCATCTACAAAGTGGAAGGTTTGCATTACATGTACACAAATTAAATTAAGGTCTTGAACAATTTTTTTGAATGACTTTTCTTTGCATAGACTGAAAATCATGTGTGAAACTCCTAAGCCCTAAAGCATCTGGACTTGAACTAGGCCAATCTGGAGAATGTAGTGAATTTTGAGCAGTGATTGTGTAATACGTTTCTAATCACAACAAACTCTTTCCACTTGTTGCATTGCCCATTCTCTTTTATATTCATCTACATCAATCTTTCCACTTGTTGCATTGTCCATTCTCTTTTATATTCATCTACATCATCTAAATGTTGTATAAATTGAATGTAATCATCAGTATAGAAATTTGTAAGTTTTGTGAGATGTATGTAGGACAGTTTTTAAAAAGAAACTGGGACCTTCATTTATTAAACTATTCTGTAGACAGTCGTTGCTTAATTCCAAATACTGGTTACCCGCAGGATCACATTTCTACCCACTTCATTTCACCTTCACTGGTCTTACAATTTCTCAACCTGTTAGTTTATATATCGATATTACGTCTTGAAAAAAGTAATGACATGAAACTTAAGAAACACATTTAGTGTTAAAATACATCTGAATGAATATGATATAACATGGAAGAAACTTCATGTTGTGTCAAGAGGAAA